TTTGCGCAACGGTACGTAGACACTGACTATGACCAGCAGGGCGTCCATGTCAGACTAGCGATACCGCAGCCAGACTTGCTGACAGCCCTTTCACTGGCGTCGGTTAGCAAATCCTGGTGCGCCGCAGTGCTCTCCCAGGTCGAGCATAAGCTCTTCGTAAGTCCACACCGCACAGCCAGGGCAGCTATGTTTCTCGGCCTACGAGTCATGGTCCAGTCCTTTGACACGCCCCAGTGGCATCTCACGTCCGAGGAGCTCACCATCCACATTCAGCACAACCAACAGGTCGTGGTGCAGAAGTTCCGGAACCCCTGTAACCCGGACGGGCCAACGGCAACCATCAGCCGAGAAGCAGAGGAATCCAGTGCTCTCTACGACCACTACTACAGACTTTTCTGAGCACTTCGGGCCATAGGCGGTTCACTGACTCACGCAAGGAAAGTGGCACAGCCTCTAATCAGGTGTGGCACAGCCACTCAACTTGTCACAGTCAGCGAAGAGTGGCCCACCTGCCCAGAGAAACCGACGTTGCAGCATGCCAACACTCAGCTACTTGCATCATCGTTTGCTCTTTCCTGTGATCTGAGGTCTCAGCTACAACACGGCACCAGCTCTCCAGCCCGAGTGCCCTCTGCTGGTGTTCTTTGCCTATAGTCGTCCTGCGTTACTTGAGCTTCGTGCTTGGTCTTGCGACTCTGCAAAGCATCACATGTATACCGCAGCTGTCAGTTCGAACTGTTGCTACCGGAAACAGCGGCAGGAGTATTGCAACATGCATTACAGACGCCTTGCAGAAGCTACATTCCGTAACAAACTGCGTTTTTGCGAAGAGCACAGCTCACCACTTGGCCGCGTGTCACAGACTCTGGCCCATCAGCTACAGCTGAGACCATGGACAAACCTCCCAGTCTGGGCCCCTTTCTGGTGCTCAGCGACAGCACCTTGCAGCACATGCTGCGGGGACACACTTACGGAGTGTTCCCGCTGCTGACGGGACAGGTCTTAAGCTGTCCAGGCGCCGCCCTCAACATCTCTGCCGGCAGCGTCCCCTCCATCTTGGAGCTCCTCCACTGGCAATTTGGGCTCTTTGGGCCGCACAAATTCACAGCGGCAGTGCAGAGTCCGCCGGTGGCCTCCATCTTGGAGAACCACCTCGACGGACAAATCAACGTTCGCTTCATTCCGCTGTCCCGAAGCCTGCGCCCGGAGAAGCAAATCAATTATGACTACCTGATCGATGGCAGGGTCCAATATGGATTTGCGGACAAGAACCTGCACAACCAGGAAATCATGGACCTGGCCCAGATGCCTGGTGTAGGAGGGGTAGAATGGCTCTACAACTCCAAGAATCTCCATTTCCGCCCCGACGTCGCGGACATTGTCATCCCGGCGCTTGTAACCAGAGCCATCGAGGAAATGCGCAACACCCCAGGACTGCCTGTCCTCGTGGTAGCTGGTTGGAACGCTCGCGAGCAGGACATGCATGTCGAAATGCTCGCTGCCCAGGCTCTGTCACAATGCCGAACGGTCCGTGATCTTTCGGAGGTAGCCATGCAATACGGACATGGCCCCTGGGGAATGCGCTTCACACATCTCCCAGAATGGGAAGCCGCCCCTGTCCCAGCCCTCCTCTTCCAGACCTACGTTCACGACGAAAAGCCGGAACCGGCCCAAGTTGCGGCCAAAATGTTTGCTGGCTTCACCCGCAGATTCTGTGATGATGATGTTCTTCGGGCTACCCTGCGGCAACTCGCAGGAAAGTACGGCTCCAATCTGCTAGATCGCCTCAGCCAACCTGCTCATCGAGCAGACGTGTTCCGCTACGTCTACCACTACCAGCACGGCGGCCTCTACGTCGACATCAAATGTGGCTTCGTGGTACCTTGGGAACAGGTACTCGTGTATCTCGCAGCAGATTGGAGCACAGCTCACTCAAAGAAGGCAGGTGAAGTGGGTCACAGACCCTCCCCACCTGGCCAACTCCCACAGGAGTTCATGGTCATGGCCATAGGAGTCAAAGGAGATCACATTTTTCAAGGCATCATCTATGGCAAGCCCAGACACCCCTTGATGAGGGAAGCCATACAGCACGCCTTCAGCCGTCAGGTTATGACAGCGAAGGCAAACTTGGAATACATGACCTTCTGCAAATATCTTTGGCAGATCTTGGGTCGTGACCTTGGTCACTCCCCTCAGCCGGGATGGAATGTTTCCACCAAATTTGGCCCCATTTACCTGTTCTCGGAGCGCTGGGACAAGCGAGTGAAGAACAAGAAGTACGACAATGATGGCCACTATTTCGTGACTACCAACAACACGACCGTTGCATATACCCGGTGCTGGAAGTGGCTGAAGGGATTTCAGGGAGACCCAACCACCAAAGAACGCACAGACCGCATGCTGCAGAGCCAGCTCCCTGACATCTCCCTTGAAATCCAGTCTGACAGACCTGAAGAGCACAGCTCACCACAGCCGCCTAGGTCACAGACCATGGCAACGGCCTCATCGGCTCCCCCTCCTCCCACTCAGGAGGATATTGAAGCCTATGTGGCCGACAGCATCCAGTACAACTCCTTTGCAGAGATCATGGCTACGGTCCGTGAAACCCACCACTACAACCAAGACCTTACAGAGCAGGATGTGCTGGAGCTTATCCCTCGAGGATTAGGGCAAGTGAAAGTTTCGGGGGACATGTGGTTATGCTGCTTGCACTGCCGGAAGCACAACAGGCAGGTGCAATTCAGCACTAGCCACGGCCTTAAGAACCACTTCGTCACTCAGAAGCACAACCCAGCACTCAGTGCCACGCCTGACCCCCACACTCCTCCCCCTCCTCCTCCCCCCAAGCTCCCACAGGAAATTCCTCTTCCCCCCAGCAGTACCAGGACCAAAGGTGTAGACAAAGCAGCCGGCTTTGAGCCGCCACCCTCCCCCCCGTGCCCTTTCACTTCCTCAGCAGCTGAAAAGGCAGCTTTCAAAGCAGGCCAAGCAGAGACACCGAAGGCGGCCCCGGCGCTTCCGGTTAAGGCCCCACCGCCCATGGTGGCCACCCAATGCCCCCCGCCCTCTTCATCATCGGCAGCACCAGCTCCCCCTCCGGCGATTCCAGTTCCCCCGATCCTTCCGCACCCCCCCAAGTCCGTCTCTCCCCCAACCCCCGCCACCCAGGCCGCTCCGCGCTCCCACACGCCCCCTCCTCCCTCTTCCCGTCCCCCGTCAGCATATGAGCCTCCGGAATCCAATGCGGAACTCGTCGGCTATGTCCCACAGCCGGCTCCACGGCTGACAGTACGTTACACACGGCAGGAGCTGGCTCAGCTGCTGAGCTCCCAGTCCCATCAGGACTGGATTCGGGCCTTAGCTTCCATCAACATCCTGGTGGCTCCAGTCATTCTTGGCGGCCTCACCAACCAGGAACAACAGACCCTTTGGTCTACCAGGATGGAAGCACTCCGAGAAGTTCCGCCGCTGTTCTCTGCCATCAAGTCCGTAAGGACGCAAACCGGCCTCACATGGGACACCGCCATGTCGGTGAGGCGGGTCCTCACAAGCGATGGGAAGGTCACCATCGCCACAGGCGCGGGTGACGCCTACCGTGAGCTGGACGCACCAACAAAGGTGCATGGCCTTATCCATGCCTGCTTCAACAAGATGTGGGACGAAAAGGCTTTTCGGCAGCACTTCCCCTCGTGGGTCGAGTTCAATATGATCGCCACCACCATAGTGGCAGTCTACAATGAGACGGCCAAATCAGCCGGACTCCCAGCTCGTGTCTTCCGGGTCAAACCCGACAAAAATGCCTACTCCATCATGAAGATGCGGATACAGCATGACAAGGGGAACGAAGAGGACAAGCGCATGGCCAAACTGGCTGCTGCTGCCCCTAACAAGCGCCCACAGATGCAGGAGGCTGACACAGAGGGCAAGCGGCAGCGCGATGGCCCCTCCTCATCCTCCTCGTCCCAGTGGGCCAGACAGGCTCGCTCATCTCAGGACGACGACTGGGACTGGTGGCAGCAGTGGTCCTGGCATGGCTACTCTCAGCAGTGGCCAAAAGGTCATGACCAGTGAGGGCGGTAATATGTCACAGACTCTATGATCCCTTATGTCACAGACTCAGGGAATTCGGCACTCTTCCGACGCCTAGCACATCTCTTCGGAAGAATGTACCCGCGTGCTAGCCTCGCTTAAAACAGCACTTTGCGCTTCAGCGAATTGCCCACATCCTAGCTGCCCAAAGTCTCACGCCACCGGAGTTGCTTCAGGTACCAGCGGTCATCCGCACATGACCCTTACGGCCTTCTGTCTTCAACATGAGTAATCCGTGTGGGACGCCACGAGACGGATACTCCAGGTGGCGGCTTCGTCTGAGGTACGGCCTAATTGTTGAGACAGGTGCACAGATGGACGCGTCTGTTCACACCAAGGTGTCGGAGAAGGAAGCTTTTTGTAGCAGTAGCAGTTGCAGTAGTATGTCAAGTTCGAGCTGATTAGAGAGACCTGAGCGATGCATGCTAGAAGCAGTTTCACGAGTGCATGAGACCAAAGGCGCCCGCAAAGCGCAGAGCACGCTCGCGCAGCGTTCAATTGAGTAGTAGTAGTAGTAGTAGTAGTAGTAGTAGTAGTAGTAGTAGTAGTAGTAGTAGTAGTAGTAGTAGTAGTAGTAGTAGTACTAGTACTAGTACTAGTACTAGTACTAGTACTAGTACTAGTACTAGTACTAGTACTAGTACTAGTACTAGTAGTAGTAGTAGTAGTGGCAATAGTAGTCGTAGTAGTAGTAGTAGTAGTAGTAGGAGTAGTAGTAGTAGGAGTAGTAGTAGCAGTAGTAGTAGTAGTTGTTGTTGTTGTACTAGTAGTAGCAGTAGTAGTAGTAGTAGTAGTAGTAGTGGTAGTAGTAGTAGTAGTAGTAGCAGCAACAGCAGCGGTAAGTAGCAGCAGTTGTCAAAAAAAACAGTGGCTTACTGGCCCCTAAACCCTAAACCCTAAACCGACAGCGCCTGCGGAAGGTGCAGTGCATGGGCCTCCATCAACTCTGCGAGGCACCACACCTCGAAAAAGGTGGACGGGGATAAGCAAAACTTGTGTTTAAAATTACTTGGAAGTTCATGAGTAGTTATAAAGGGTTGCCTTTAAAGGGATCTATAGGAGTTTTATAAGGGTATAGGGTTTAGGATCTACTTGGGAGGTTCATAGCTAGTAAAAAGGAGGGTTATAAGTCCCCTAATATGGGTTATAAGTACAGTTACCCTACTTATAACCCTACTTATAACTACCCCTGAACCTCCCAGTAGGGTTTAGGTTTCGGGGCTTATAGGGTTCAGGGCCTAGGGTTTGGGGTTTAGGTTTCGGGGCTTACAGGGTAGGGATTAATGGGCCTTAGGGGGTCTGGCTTGGTGGGCCAAGATCGAGCTGCACATGACCCGGATTGGTACAGTCGTGTGGCAGCATATCTTATCTTTCTGTTTGTAGGGGCCTTAACTTGGGGCCCATTATACTATAAATAAGGAACCCCCTGAAACAGTATTGGTACTTATTCAGGTCCCATAAACCCTTCTCCCCAAACCCTAAACCCTTAACCCTAAACCCTCATAAGGCCCCTTTTTTAGCCAGGCCAAGACGCTCTCTGAAACACTATAAGCATAATGAGGAACCCCCAAAATAGTATTGGTACTTATTAAGGCCCCATAAGGCCCTAAACCCTAAACCCTTTTTTTTAACCAGGCCAAGAGGCTCTCTGAAACAAGGAGAAGTCCGACTCACAGGCGATCACCTGCTGGAGCCGGACCTGGCGAGCATCTGAACACTACCTCTAAGGGCCCCTTTAAGGGATCTACAGGGGGAGTACTATAAGGGTTTAGGGTTTAGGGTCTACTTGCTCTGAACGGTTGATGATGTAAATCCTGCATTACCCATGATAAGGAATATACCATAATTCCCATAGTTTAGGGTCCTTAAGGTAATGGAGATTTATATCATCCACGGTAGGACCTCGTTCACAACCCAAAACCCAGCAGAGTAAAACTCTGCAAACCCTAAACCCTCAGCCCCTGAACTCCCTAAACCCCCTCCCTAAACCCTATGCGAACCCATAAACCCTAAGCCCCTAAGCACTAAACCCCATCAGCAGGCGTTCTGGCCCGAGACTTTTGTAGTCAGCCAGTTAACCCTAGCGCGGCCCGTAGAGGCCCGCCCATCCGTGGCCTTGAAAGACAGGTGCACGGCAACGCCACTCAACCCTTCACCCGTTGCCTAGGCATACGCTGGTGTAGTGGTTCCTTCTGTACGCCTTTGCGAGGAAGGTTTTTTATACCGTGGCTGCCTCCCGGTTTCTGCTGGAGGTGTGCCAGGACCTGTACGACTTTTCGAGGGTCCCCTTTTTTATGAGCTGCGCTGCAATATTTGCTATCTGGGTTAGCTTTATTGGAGTGGGCAGCAACGGCCCGCCGAGTTGCGGAGCCGGCTTTTCACCGGCGACAGCGCCGCCGGCGTACCTTTTCCCGACAACTACTTCGACAAGTGCTTTTCTTTGGGGGATCCTGGACGAGCACCGTTGCGAAGGCAGTCAGGTGTTTGGAAGGACACCACTCCCGCTCGTCCTTGCCGGAGCAGGTCAAGCGGAAGCTGTTCACGAAGCACCGTACCATGGCTTCACACAATGGGGCCTGGAAGTGCACGAGTTGTGCACGGCAGTGCGCCAAGAGCGCAGACTTTTGTCCGGGCTGTGGGAAGCACTGGACCAAAGTAGCCGAAGGATATGGTGCTTGGACTCAGAGACCACCCTGGCCGGAGAGATCGAACAACCCCGACCAGTGGCCCAAGTCACCACGCCGCAGATCTCCACGCACCAGGAGACCACCAGCGGGACAACAGCCAAAAGGTGGCGGCGGCAAAGGACAGCCGAGCGGACCCAAGGGAGCTGGCAAGTCTGGCAAGGCCGAGGCTGCAAAGCCTTCCTTGGACCAGCTTCCGGCAGCACCGGTGGGGGCCACAGTGAATATGCCCAAGGGGACCTCGGCTCCGAGCTCGTCGCAGACACCGTCGATCGAGAAGACCCAGCTGGAGGCGCTCACGGGATGCCTCACTGCGATTCGAGACTCCCTGCCCGCGGAGGTCCGGGATACACTCGATCGACTGCAGTTGGCCTCGACGGCGAATACCACCAAGGACATGCACAGAGCTGTGGCGGCTCAGGCAACTGCCAAGAAGCAATTGTTGCAAGTGCAGGCCGCTCGTGCGGCCTATCTCGATGCCTGGCACGGATACATCGAGCAGGTGAGCCAGCTGTTGCAGCAGCAAGTCGGAGAGCAAGCAGCACAGCTGGAGGCATACGATGCGGCGGAGCTTCAATGGAGTGGGGCATTGGAGCAGACCACTGCAGATCTCGCCCGTTTGACACGGGCGCCGACTACCACCCGCGTCGAGGCCGAGGAGATGGATCTCGAGCAGGAGGAGAACTTGGTGGACGCGGACATCCGCACAGCAATGGAGCTGGAACAGCGCAAGGAGCAGCATCTGGCGGAGTCCAAACAGCTGGTGAACCTCCTTGCCAGTGTCCAGCAGACGGCGGCCAACCAGCTCAAGCAGGCTGGCCGAGAGGGATCGCGCACACCAAGACGCAAAGGCAAAGGTCAGGAGGCAGTCGACCTGACGCTACCCGAGGATGGCGCCAGAGATGCTGCAGCTTCAGAGGCCAAGGACCAGGAGGCGAAGCCGCCCCCTGCCTAGGCCCGTGTACGAGCCGAAAGGGAATACACGGGCCGTTTTCATGCGTGCCCTTTGGGCACAGCGTCGAGAAGGAGAAGGATTTTGTGGACAGCAACTTCGCTAACTTCCTGGGGGTTTCCTTGAGCTTTGAAGTGGCGATTTTGAGCCTTGGTCTGGAGGACATCCATACCTACATGGAGGATCCTAGGTGCAACGACACTCTTGAGGATGATGGGTCATTCTTTTGGAGTACGTCCGGAAGCCTACAGACTACCGACTATGAGCTCCTCGAGATCAGTACGCAGTGGTTCCCACCTGCCACGCCGGAGGGCTCATCCTCTCTTGGAATTGAGCGCGTTCCCTTGGCCATCCGACCCCCACTTGAGCGCATGCACAGGCTCGTGGGTGCGGTGGATGTCGACAAGAGGCGCGACTCTCAGGCGGGTGAGGCTGAGCCCGACGGAGGCGCAATGTCTAGACGTTGCGACAATGAGGGGATGAATTTTCCGCCGTTCGCGGCTTGTACAGGCAGTAAGCAGATGCGAAGGGACGGGTCTCGTTCGGATTGTGGTTTGCAAGTTCGGCGCAGTCCGCTGCCCTCTGCCCTACACACGGCAGCCCACCCAATCCCTCTTCGGGTCTCCACAGGGTTTAGTCCCTTCGCTCACAGCCACAATCAGTGGGCGCGTGCATTCAATCAAATCCCTCGCCGCGTCAGCCCCGCACGAGGAGAGCCGCAACATGTGCAAAATGCAAATTCCGCAGTCGGTCCCACTCCTGGAGAGCCGCAGCATGTGCCCCTCGCCGGTTACAAGGACGGTGCCTGTCGAGCCTTGGCCGAACCTCGCCCGCTAGGGGACCTCGCGACCCCAGGTCGACCACGGCAATTGCCGCGTGTGCCGTTGCAGACGAGCACCGCTGACAGGCAGTACAACTCCTCCGATACCAGTCTATCCGGAGGTTTCCTTGATACCACAGTTGCGACTGCCACCCCTTCTGCCAAACCAGCTCCCAGGAAGCCCACCATGCTTCAGTGCACAATCACCGCGCAAATTCCGCTTGTTCCGGAGTGCCTCAGGGGCCGACTCTTGGGAGAGGCGATCGAAAACTTGGGGGCCTACACTAGTTGCGAGGCATATGATGCACACGGTCAGGCCGTCTACACAATCTTTGATCCTCCTCACGGAGTTCGATCTCGCCGAGCACACAAGAACTGGAGCTTGCTGGAACTCGTCACTGACGCGGTTACCAGTGCAACTTTCAGGGTCCGCATGATTCAACTTGTTGACAGACCCATGAGTGGTCTCAGCTCGCCTCAGCTCACGCTCACCCCGGCAGACGCTGAGCCAGGCAGAATTGCCCTTCCGATTGACCTGCGTGGTCACGGCGGATCTGTGGTGACAATATATGCAGCGGACGACATGACCCCTCAAGAGGTGTTACAGGCTGCGATGGATGCTCCAAGGTCCCATCTTGGCAGACTCGATGTTCCTCCGCAGGAGGTTAGGCTGTTCTCGTCCGATGGACGGCAGGTCTTCAGGCTGCATCTTCCTCTGACGCAGTACGGATGGTTGGAAGTTAGAAGGTCGGCGGATCAGGGAGCAATTCCACAGCATCCCGTCCCGACCACGACAAGCACAACCACGTGTACGAGCTCGCAAAGGGGTCCAGATCCCTCTGAGCTTGAACAGCTACTCATGCAGGCAGGTGACAGGCCAGCACCCGTCCTGCCAGCAGCACTGCAAGGGGTTGACATCTGGCCCCGAGGCGCAACTCACCTCGTCGCGCATCGCCTGCCCAACACACGGCTTGGCGTTCTGCCGGATCTTCAACCCAGGGTAAGGGCGGGCAGCACCACAGTTTCCTTTACGATCTTTGTGGCCGCTCAAGACCCGATTAGGGCACAGGGCCACTCCTCGTGGTCTCTGGTTGATTTTATGCGGGAGGGTGCGAACTTTGCAGAGTTACGCCTTCACAGGCTGCAAGTGCTAACGGAGGCATTACCTGGTCTCCCGACACCCCAAATTATCCTCACGGAAGGGGAGGAAATCGGCGGCTCCTGTGTCGTTCCGGTAGACCTTAGGCCGTTTGGCAAAGGGATCTACCCGCTGCTCCTTCCACCAGCCTTTGACCGCACATCCGTGCTTGAAGCGCTTGCACTGGCCCACCCAGGTCTCAGGCAGGTGATAGAAGATCCACTCAGCGGCCACAGATTGCAGCTACGTGATGCGAGCGGACAAGTGCATGATAGTCTGCCCAGCCATCTCACGACTGTACAATGGCTTTTGTTGGAATACGCGAGCCTGCCGGCTGGGCATCTCGACCCTACTGGTTCATTGTCAGAGGGGGACGATGCGGCAGAAGTCGATGAAGCCAACATGCTGCAGATATCAATAGACGGACCACTTGCAGTGCCCGGCCCTGATGGCGGTTCCGAGGCAGGACTCCCTCCGTCATTGCTGGGCAAACTCACTCCCCCGAGCATCGGTGGCCCATGCACTTCACAGGTCCACATCATGCCTGAATACCTCAACAAGCCAGGCACCATGCATAAGGAGTTGACACAGGTCTCATGGGGTGGCAGGGAAGGGGAGGAGACCACACATTTTACCGTGTTCGATACTGTACATCAGGTACGGGTCCTACCACGCCACCCCAAAGACTCCCTGCAGCAGTGTATTGGGCGCGCTTTACAGTCGATGCCGACGACTGTTAGCCGCATCCGCATACTTACGGCGCCCGTTGCTGGGTTTCCACTGCCACAGCTGGTCCTTCATCAAGCAGTTCACACGGATCCGCTTGATACTCTTGTCTGGGACCTGAGACCCATACAGCAACCAGTTCGCACGGTCGCCTTGGTCCGCGGGGCAGAGCTTGGCCAGTCTTTCCAACAGGTTGTGGCACCCTTGCCCCAGGCAACAGCCTTAGTTGACAGCTGGCATCATGGGCGATTAGTGTTGGTTGATGCAGTCGGCCTACTTGAGGACATGCTTCCACAGGACTTTGAAGAGTCCCAACATGTCCGCGCAGAAATGGCCATTTTTACTGGCCAATCGCTCCTGCCCCCCATTCCGGACCTTTGGCAGCCGCCACCCGGCACGGTCACGTCTACATCCACTACAACTGCCATGATGGTCAACTATGCGCACTATCCTTCCCGTCCTCCAAGACATTCGGTCGCGGAGATTCATTCGCTGGAGGTAAAAATAGTGCGGGGGCACCACTGCGAGCAGGCCGTCATTCAGCTCCCATGCATGCAGATAGATTGTGCCCTTAGCTGGCTGCTCCGACGTGTCGAGGCCGCCACCGGTCCACTGTCGCCATCGGCTAGGCTCATGCTCACCAAGGCACAGCCCCACTCATCCACTCCTGCACACGAGACGGTGTTTGTGGTGGTTGAGGATGATTCGGGGGTTTGGTCTGCTTTTGATACTAGGCACCTAGCAGCAGCAGGCCCCATTGTCGCAGCCTTCAGCGAGCACGAAGTGCCTTGCCATGCCACACTTGCGGCCTCCGCCTACCACATCGGATGGACCCTTTTTGTCAATGGCGCACCCCTCCAGATGTGTGCACGCAACATTGACAACGGCGACTTTGTCCAGCCTTGCATGCAAGGGGGATTTCCCCTTTCGGTGCCCACCTCGGTTATTCTTGAAGCCTGCCCTCTTCTCGAAGCTTACACGTGGGGGCTGCCCTTGCCTCTAGTGCGGAACGCGAGGCAGCGCCGAGCACGGGCGGGCTTCTACCGCCATGCTGAAGGGCGTTGCCTTATTTTTGGGCCGCACCATGCACCGGCAGCATTTCGAACGCGGCACGAATTTATCCCGGATCATACAGAAATGCGGGAGGCAATCAACGAGCACCATGACTTCCCAGCCAGACTGTGCGCGATTTCGTACGCCGAGGCCCAGTTTAGGCACGAGCGCTGCACCTCGGTGTTCGTTTCATCGGCCAGGCAGTCCTCCCTAGCGACAGTTTTACTTCCCGCTTATGGGTGGCCTGGACATTATGTTGTGCTCTTGACACCCCAGAACGCACCCGGTCTCGGAGCGCTTCCCATTGGGCACAATTTTCGAGTCCTCCCAGAGCGCAGATGGCGGCCGGGGTTGGTATTGCGCATTTGCTTGGATGAGCTGCGGCACAACAAGCTGCTCAGCCAGTCGCGGCTCCCCCTCCATGCCCACAGCGGCCGATTCGGCCCGATCCTGAGGTTGACGACGAGGACATGCCGGCAAGGGCTGACCCGAATAGTCAGGAGGGACACAGCCTCATCCAGCTCGGGATCAAGCGGCTTCGTACTCAGTCGACCACTGCAAATGTCGGTGACAACGAAGTGCACAGGCCTCTGGGGCCTCCTACAAGAACGGCACCATCACAGGCCCAGGCCGGGCTTCGACAGGTGATCACACCCTTTGGTCGCCGTCGGCTCGAAGTGAGCCAGCCGGCTCCTCGCCACGTCTCGGTGCAACCGGAGCCCCTCGACAACTGCCGATCCAAGGGTATCCTGTTAGGTTTGGAACCAGATGCGCTGGACTTTGCCTTCAATCCCTTTGGTCGTCGGTGTCTCACAAGGGACAAGCCATTTGACTTTGCCTTGCATCCCTCTTCTAGAGCCTTTCTCACCGAACTACCACTCTGCGATGTCAGCAGGCCTCTTGACGCCATGCAGATCTATGTGGATGGTTCTTACTTCGACACCTCACCAGACTGCCAAGCGGGCTGGGCAATTGCTGTGTTGGGTTTGCAAGGTGAAGTTTGGGGCTGGGAAGGTTTTTTGGCGGTAGGCAGCGATTGCGGAGGCGACCACACCACCCTGGGGGTTGAGATTACCTCCGCTTTCCAGACTGAGCTTGCAGGAATTGTGTACGCTCTTGCTGTGTGTCAGGCCACTCCCTGCCCAGCCGCGGTTTTCTACGACTGCAGTGCAGCCGGTCACATTGCGTCCGGAAGTGCCTCTCCTGCACAGCCCACGGCACTGACAGAAGCGTGCGGAGCCATCAGCCATCTTCTCTACCTGCAGTCACGGCGTCCAGCCCTGGCCCATATTAAATCGCATGATCCGGATGTCAATAGACTGCCGCATGAGCTGGCTTGGGCAGCTCAGGAAGGGGCACTGGCGTGGTTCTGGGCGGCAGCAGGCCTTCATCAGGACCTCCCCCGACCCGATGACCGAGGTTGCATTGGCCCAAGCAGGAGGGAGACAGTCAGTGGGCTACCCACCCTTGCCGATGTGCTGCCCTCTGTCCAGGTTCCTCAGGCCTCAACAGTTGGCTTCAACTTGCGTGCCGTCACATACAATGTCCTGACAGCCTCTACCGTTCTGCAACGCGAAAGCCTGTGTCAGCAACTCGCTGCCCGTGGTGTTGTAGTGGCGGGCTTGCAAGAGACCCGTAGCGGTCTCGCAGGCCGTTCAAGGCAGGGATCGTACTATGTCATCTCTAGCCCTGCCAGTTCCGGGGAGGGAGGAGCTCAAATCTGGTTCTCCTCCAAGGTCCCAGTAGGTGTTTGTGAGGGCTCAGAAGTTTTCTGGGAGCCAACCTCCTTCACGATACTTTACAGCAGCCCCCAGATACTGATGGTGAGTGCACGGGCGGGGGGCAGCCTTTTTGTCGTCCTCACGGCCCACGCACCGACCAATCGGGCTTCAGCCTCAGTCAAAGAGTCATGGTGGGCCCAGCTTTCGCAGGTTATGGGCAGACTTCCACGTCGTGCCACTTTGCTCTTATGCATTGATGCCAACGCGCGACTCGCGAAAGAGCATGCACCCTACCCGGACAATGCGCACTTCTTCCGCGCATTCCTTACGGCTCATCACCTTGTAACCACCCCGGCAGTCAACCATGTCGGCACCGAATACACGACCTGGATCAGCCCCTCGGGGCTCAAGGCCTGTTTGGATTGCCGACATGGTTGACTGCCGGGGTGGTTACAAGGTGATGAGCCGTAAGGAATGCGCGGAAGAAGTGCGCATTGTCCGGGTAGGGTGCATGCTCTTTCGCGAGTCGCGCGTTGGCATCAATGCACATAGTTGATCTAGTTCGTCATGCGGCGTGGCTTTTAAGCAGCCCGGACGACACTGTCATCAAGCTGTGGTTCGACGACCAGGCATGGCATCAGCAGGTGCAACAAGCTTTGCACCAAGTTGCGCTGCAGCTCCAGTCCCCGGCAATCAGCCTAGAGAGGCTGCGTGAAGATCCTGGTCAAGCAAAAAACTGGCTCAAGCGATTCACCTCTGCTGTTAGACGCTGTCATGCGGAGCAGCGACAGGAGCTTCTGCCTGGCTGGCGAGGTCAGCAAGATGCCTTGGATAAGGGATGGCTCTTTGTGCACGTGGTGCCCAGCGTCGCACAGGATCCCACGTCCTTCGCCTGCGAGGTGTGCGGCTGCTTCTTTTCCACCCGGGCGGCTTGTCGCGCACACGCACGTAAGGTGCATCAAGTGCGCTCACAACTATCGCAAGCTGTGTTTGGCACGCGATGTGAGTGCTGCTCGAAAGAATTTTGGTCGGAGGCCAGGCTGAGAGAACACTTTAAGTCACATCCGTACTGTCGGCAGTGTGCTCTCGAAGCCGATATTGCGCCGACTGACAAGCCTGCACGCCCCTCGGCCAGTGCATGGCGGCCACCAGTTACGGTCCCAGGACCGAAGCCTTGGTGGGCAACCCAGGGACCATTCCATCCGGAGCCACCGCTACCACCGGTCGTTGTTTCGGGTTGGGATAGAGTTCAGGGAATTTTGAAGCGGGGAGTCGATGCGGATTTGTATGGGTTTGTACATTCCGTTGTCGAGGTCGCAGTACAGCACCGTTTGATGATGGAGGACGCGCCCCTCGCTTTTATGACTGGTCGCAACAGCGCGGTTGTACAGTGTTCGCTGTTTGCAGCTGAGTATATTCATACCTGCAAGACCGGTCGCTTCGACACGAGAACGTGGCGAGTCCATGTAGGCTCCTCTCGTGCTGTTTTTATCCCCCAATGTGGGGTCCGATTGCGAGTGCAGCTCCCTGCGGTTTGGCAGGAGGTGCTCAACTCGCATCGATGAGGACGCTATGCATGCAGCGTGCACCGAAGGGTTCAACCATCATGCCAAAAAAAACCCATCAGCCCTAAAAACCTAACCAGGAAAACTACTTCGATGAGACTGTGAGCTGGCCCGGCCTCCCCCTGCTTGCGTAAGGATATCTTCAGGTAGGCCATCATGTCATCGAACTTGTTCATCTCCTTCCATGGTTTAGAGTTTGGTTTTAGGGTTTAAGGTTTGATGCTTAGCATCTGTGGAAGCAGATCGCAAGCACAACCGCCCTGCTACCGCCAACTTGGCCTCCACACTCACGCAAGGAAGCATGCAAGCGATGTGGCAGTGCTGGAACCCGCACAGTGCAGCCGAGCTGCGCTGAGGTCGCCGTCGAAATGCTTCGGCGTCGAACAGTGGCAGGGCGTGATAGCATGGCCGGTAGAATCGGTCGGCGGAGGGCTCGCGCAAATTCCGGCATGCTGGTTCACCGAGAAAGCACAGATCCAATAGCGAATATCCAGCTTGCCAGATGCTACTAGCTTGGCATTCAAGGTGCCAAACTCGTGGTGCGTGAGAAGGTCAGCAATCTCATCATACTTCTCCACGTCCAAGGCATCGGCCAGGACGGCGGCAATGAGGTGCGTAAACTTGTCGGGATTCGCTTACGGAATGATGCTTCCATCTCAAGACAATCTGCACCCTTAGAAGGCTTCGGCTTCATCTTCTAACCTTCCCTTTCGTCCCTTTCGTGCCTTGTTGCGCCAGGAGTGCGTGACCATCCTCTGGGCAAGAGAGGGTGAGGTTTCCCTGGCGTTCACGACCTCCGCAAACGCGAAGCCACGGATTTTCGGAAGGTCGCAGTCGTGGTCTTCAGCGGTGAGTACTCCGCGTGAGGCCCGGGGGACGAAGTTTCGGTGCATCTGGGCCCCGAGATCCAAAACCTGCTCGTCGGTGTTCGAGAGGTCATCGCCTGAGGCGCGAGGCTTTCCGGGCGACAGAGCCTGTGGGCTCAAAACGAAATGTCTCACTCTGTCGTCTAAAACGACAACGTGCGTCTAGGCTATCCGAGCTTTTGGCTACGAAAAAGTCGCTGGCAAGCAAGACAATGCATCGAATCAAAGCTTGTGCAAAAGCACCTCCGTCTTCTCCTCCAACGATTGCGGCCTGCTGGGGTGAATCGAGCCGTCGGCGGAGGGCTGATGGAGTTCATTCGTCAGAGCTTCTAGAGAACACTGCACAGATTGAATCTAGGACCTATGAGCCTCCCAGAGCCTCCAAAACCCGTTAATTAAGGAATATACCTTAAATTATAATAGGATCCCTTATATGATTTAAGGTATATTCCTTAACTAAAGGGTTTTGGAGTCTCTGGGCTTCTATGTGCGGCCCCTGCGACTTTGGCATCCCTTCACCTGGCCTCCTGCAGGCGTGCAAGCCGTTTTCGGGCTTCTGCTCGTGTCGCGTGGGAGGCTATGGAAACCTCTTGGGGTTTAGGGTTTAGGGTGTAGGGTTTAGGGGTTTAGGGTTTAGGGAATCACGAAGTCATTCTGATTACCAGACGAGTCCCCACATCACCCCCTCTGCTGCACATGACTTCTTCGTTCGCTGTTCTGCTTTTTTGTCCGACCTGTGTGCGGCGATGCATAACTAGAACCCAAGGGCTAAAGCAGCTTCTGAGCTAGGTGGACCGACCCAGAGTCCCTCCGTGGCATCAAGAGGCCAGGAAACCTGCAGCTTGCTCCCTTCGGTGGCTTCTACGAGGAGCTCGCCGCTCATGCCACCCCGCATGCTCCGCACCTGAATCAAGGGGTTTAGGGTTTAGGGTTTAGCCTGTTCAGCCGGCCCGACTTGCTCTCGACTCTCCAGGCACAAGTACTCTGTGGAATCTGAAGTTTGCTGCTTCTCTCGGGGGGGGGCTTGAGGTGAGTTCAGGAAACTGTGCCCGGCACTGGCAGCACGACCTTGCCAAGGCAATCGTCACTGTTGCGGTCCCGGATGGAGAAATGAAGGCTTTCATCGTCAAGGACGTCCTCTTTGGTTGTTGGTTCTAGCCGTAGCAGCCGTGTGCGCTAGCCACAGGCAGCGGATGGCATTCAACAGGCATGGCAACTAGATACACTGTAGGGGCTAAAGGAAGGGAAGGAAAGTGAACGGCAAAGTGCAGACTACTCTTGCGAAATGCAGAACGAATCCTCCACCAGGAATGCTTCCTCCCAAACGGGGTTTTGTGTGCTTTCGATGCAAGATGTCCGGCCACCACCCTTCCAAGGCTTTGACACAGCTCCACTTTGTACCACGACCACGCAGTAAGGAGCAGAACGACCCGCGACCTCATCTCGCTTTGCCAGGCCCGTCGCCCGGTGGACCTGTATGGTGTAGAAGTGCACATCTCGAAGATCCAACGAGTTCGGGATGATGAATTGTCGCACAACCTCGGTTTAAGGGTTTAGTGATTTTAGGGTTTGGGGCATAGGGTTTGGCGGCTCAGGGCTTGGGCGCATAATCCAAATGACAGCACCTGCTGGGAGAGCTACAGTAGAGCTTTCCTTCTGTCTGATGCCTCTTCTGGGACAAGGAGCATCATGTGTGGTGGACTTCTTTGGATCGAAATGGCCCGTCAGATTATGTCCCAATTCTGCATAGAAATCCAGAAGCTGCCGCAGCGATATGCCGCGACCAGCCAGCTCATGTACCTTTGCTACCCAGGCTGGCCCACGCTCTTGAGAAACAGGAGATTCCGAATCCTCTCCTGATTTCGCAAGCTGCAAATCAAGTCCAAACTTTTTTGGTGGTGCCGCGACACCCCCAGGTTGTCTGCAGTCAGCCAGTTGCGTGCCCAGGCTTGAAAGCACACAGGCCAGCAGCGGCACAAGTAGCAGCTTTCGTGCAAGCACGATTGTAAAGGCAAACATCCATTTCCACTCGTCAGACTCCACCAGATCCGAAAGAAATGCCATGATGACAAGCAAGTGGAAAGTCGACAGGCAGATGCTAAAAAGCCAGAATACAACATCCTTGCAGCGAGTTCGGATTAGGTGCTGGTGTGGGGAGAGACTCGTCCGCACAAAGCCACGCTGAGCGAGGCAAATCTGTAAACTCCTTGGAATGAAGTTGAGGAGCACCGAGAAGGTCGCAACGAAAAGGTACCAGGGGAGGCTTCCCTGCTCCAGTGGGCACTCGGCCGGGCTTCGGGCAGACAATGCCGACCCGTCTACTGAAAAAAAGAGGGCAGCAAAGCACAAAGATCCCATCACGCAGTCCATGCAGATTTTGGCCCGCTTTGCGGCCGTCATGTGCAGATCGAACATGCACAGCTCGTACACCGGATGTGAAGCCAGGATTGTAGCACGAAGCCGATGGAGGTGTGAAGTATGGACGAGCACGTAAGCGCTTGGCAGCCTTTCTTCCAACTCGATAGCTACTTCTCTGAGCTTTGGAGATCGTTGCAAGGCCAAGCTTCCCTGTACCCATCCATGTCGACCCCATATGTGGCTTTCGATGGAGGTGATGTGAAGGTTAAGTGAACGGCCCACCTCACAGAGTGTATTGCGACAGATCGCATGTTCCTGCAAGCCTGACGTCCAAGTTGGCCGTAGCCGCTGCAGCCTCTTCAGGACTTCTTCACCTGGGTTGTAGTTTTGGGGCTCTGAAAAGTATTTATGAATAGGTGCCTCTATAGGAAGCATAAGGGAAATCAAAAGGTTTCCCAAATTGCCACCTAGTCGTTCCTTTTTGATATTACCTTATAGGATTCTATATATGAACCCCAAAAAAGGAACTACTTTGCCACCTAGTCACGCTGCTCCTGCCACTGCACGCTCATCGGCGAAGCTCGGAGAGACGGTGCCTCCGTCTCACTGAGCTCGCCGGGGGCCGCAGCCTTAGAGAACGTGCGGACGTAGGCCTGCAGGTGTAGGTAGTAAGTAGAGTTATAAGTACCCTGAAAGGGATATTTAATTGGGGTTATGGTACTTATAAGTCTCTAAAATAACTCTCCTGCTCCCCTCTCCAAGCAGTCCCAAGCCTAAACCCATCCAAGACGTGCAAAAGCCGTGCTCTCCAAGGGGCGGCTGCCTCTGCCTTTGGGCAGCAAAGGCAGCGAAGGCAAGGGAGCGAGGAGCAAAGCGTGGAAGGCTTTGCAGCGTCGTCCAAAAAGAAGTCCTCCCGCCAGAGCTCCGCTTGCCTAGCTCATGGTTGGGATAGGAGTTTAAAACGTACATTTCTATGCCTTATTGGGCTTAAGTACCTACAAAGATATAAAATGTAATTTTCTTTGCCTTAGGGGGTTTAAGTACCTATAAAGATATAAAATGTACATTTCTATGCCTTAGGGGGTTTAAGTACCCATAAACATGTAAAATGTTACCCAACTATGACAAAGATGCCGGACCTTCAGATCACTGTGATAACCAAAGAGGATCAAAAGCAGCGAGGCGGCTAAGAGCAGCCAAAGGGACACCGCCGGCACTCGAACCCACCAGTCCCCTCGCTCCTGGACAAAAAGTCGCCCAACACAAGAAGCGCAAGGATCATGGCACTTAGTAATTGAGGTTATAAGTAGTTATAAGTATAGTTGCCCTAACAATAACCTTAGTTACTAAGTCCCATGATCCTTCAAGTAGGTTCATAGAAACAGACAGGGAGGGAGGCTAAGGTTGAGGAAGGGAACACGGGACGATGCCCTCGGACACACAAGACGCCGCTTCAAGACTAGCGGACTAGCGTGGTTTAGGGTTTAGGGGTTATTTAGGGTTTAGGGTTTAGGGGTTATTTAGGGTTTAGGGTTTAGGGGTTTAGGGTTTAAGGGACACTACAGCCAGAACTTTCAGCCCGTCGCTCCAGGATCTGTTGGAGCCCATCTGGTGTCAGCAAATTGGCAGACCTAGGCGGAGACTTGCACTATTAGTATCATTATATTATTATTGTTAGTATCATTATTAGTATCAGCATTATAAGGAAGGAAGACGGCCCGAGAAATCAAGCAAAAGCCAGGCCACGTGCAATCCAGTAGAATGTCGACGAAAGCAGCGAAGATGGAGAGGTGAAGAGTGGCACACCAGACGCCGGAAGTGTCCGCGAGAGCCCCAAAAGCCGCCTCCAGCTCCCCTGGCGCCGCTAAGCGCACGCCTTCAGTGGACCAGCCCAGGCCATCATCTTTCAGATAAGCCTGCTCGGGGGGGCACTACAAAAAAGTCTAAAATCATCCCTGCTGCAACTGCAGATATTATACCAGTTCAGATCCAGGCCACGCAGATCCAGTTCGGCTCGGGCGAAACCCTTGCGATCCTTACGTACATGGGACGATCAAGGCTCACATCGATGGGGCGGAGCGTGTCCAGATCAATGAGTGTGACATCCACGGCCGGCACAGCAACCTCTGGGTTCTTGTGAAGGGATTGAATTTGAGTTGCCAGAAAAGAATAAGGAAATCATATCATGTACGCAGGAAACAAGATCCCAATTATGGTGTCTTCATCCTGATAGAACCCTGAGAGGAACACTTAAAGGAACCCTATTAGACTCTGTAGAAGAACCCGTACAGCCCCTTTTTTGTTAGTTTCAACCCTAAACCCTAAACCCTGAACCCTAAACCCCTAACCCCTAACCCCTAAACCCCAAACCCTGACCCCCAAACCCCGAACCCTAAACCCTGAGCCCTTGAACCCCAAACCCCAAACCCTAACCCCTAAACCCTGAACCCTAAACCCTGAACCCTAACCCCTGAACCCTAACCCCTAAACCCTAACCCCTAAACCCCAAACCCTAACCCCTAAACCCTGAACCCTGAACCCTGAACCCTAACCCCTGAACCCTAACCCCTAAACCCTAACCCCTAAACCCCAAACCCTAACCCCTAAACCCTGAACCCTAAACCCTGAACCCTAACCCCTAAACCCAAGAAGAACCCAGACCTCGATTGGCCGGCTCGAGGCCCATGACCGGTGTCTCTGCCCGGCAGGAAGGACCTCCAAAAACCCCTTAATTAAGGAATATACCCTAAATCATATAAGGGATCCTACTATAATTTAAGGGATATACCTTAAATCATATAAGGGATCCTACTATAATTTAAGGGATATACCTTAAATCATATAAGGGGTCCTATTATAATTTGAGGTATACTCCTTAATTAAGGGGTTTTGGAGTCTCCGGCAGGAAGGACCTCGTCTTCGAAGCTCGTCAAGACAAGCAAGGCATCGCTCCGCAGGACCTGCAGAGTTTCAGGATTTAGATGGAGTTACTGGGAGGTTCATGGGTAGTTATAAGGGTTCCTTTAAGGGTCCCTTTAAAGGGATCTATAGGGATTCTATAAGGGTATAGGGTTTAGGACCTACTTGGAGGTTCATGGGTAGTTATAAGTAGGGTTTTAAGTCAGGTAACTATAACTATAACTAACCCATGTTAGGGGACTTATAGCTGCAGAGTCTCAGGGATTTGGGAGCTTCCGAAAATAGAGGCACCTTATTATAGGGGTCCTTATAACAAGCATCCTACTATTTAGGGTGCTATATTTGGGTCGACTATTTTCGGAAACCATACTAGGGATCTATGGTATGCAGAGTCTTAGCCAGGGCATACAAAACCCTAAACCCTGACGGCGGAAAAGTCTGAGGATGTCCCAGGCCTCTGCGGGCAGAACTGCCGCAGCCGCGCTTTCGTTCAGAACGGTCACGACCATGCTCGAGCTTGGGGTCAACCTCGGGAGTCGCCCAAAAGCTCAGGAGCCATATCTTCAGGCACGACTGGGGCCGCAGCTTCACCGCGTTCAACTTTCCGAAATCGGTTGTTACTGACACAGTCGCGTTCTCCAAGTCCGTCACCGTACCTAGACAATCAACTCTCGCAGGACCCTGCAAAGCAGTCCAACCTCGCAACCGACTTGTGTCTCAAGATGTCGGAGCGGCGTAGCAGGACGTTGGTGCTGCGCTGCAGCTCATCGAGAAGCTCGTCACTGAAGCTTGTGAAGCGCGTTTTCGAGCTCGTCGTTGTAAAGGTGTCCGATGAAGTGCTAGTCGAAGTCAGCGCTGTCGAAGTGCTTCTCGAAGTTGACGAAGACACAGATGTTGACATCGAAGTCGAAGTCGTCATAGACAAAGATGTTGACGTAGATTCGGTCTGTGTCGAAGTCGAAGATGTCGATGTTGGTGATGATGATTCAGTCCGTGTTGTTGTTGTGCTTGTGATAGATGTTGTGGTCGAAAATGACGAGGTTGATGATGTTGATAGTGAACTCGTCTGTGTTGTCGTGGTGCTCGTGATGGATGTTGTGGTCGAAAATGACGAGGTTGATGATGTTGACATCGAACTCGTCTGTGTTGTTGTTGTTGTGGTTGTGAGTGTGGAGGATGTTGTTGTCGACGCTGAGGATGTTGATGACGATGACGATGACGATGACGATTCCGTCTGTGTTGTGGTCGTGCCTGTGATCGTGGAGGATGTTGTTGAAAAGGTTGAAGACGTTGATGATGATGTGGCCGTGGATGTAGCTGTCTGTGTTGCTGAAGTCGCTGTTATCGTAGTCGTAGATGTTGACGACGACGAGGACGTAGTGACGGTGGTGCCGGTGCCAGAAGATGTCGTCGAAGTAGCCGTGGTTGCGGTGGAAGTAGAGGTTGCGGTAGTGGTGGTAGTGGTCTCGTGCAGAGATCCAGTTGGCTTAAAGCTTGATTATGAACTGGAGTACAGCTTCTCTAGGCTTGCTGGGGCGTTGCGTCACTCATCATGCAATCCTTCGGCAAGACACGTAGCTGCAAATTCCAGAAACAGAAGCCATCATCGGATTTCACCCCACACGCCTTCGTTAGGCACAGCCCCACCCTGCACAGTGACATCTGAGATTCAATCCCGCCTCGATGGTGACGAACCACGAGTCTGCCAATCGGCCACTGTCGCCTGGTCAAGTCCCATGGACAACTGCGACACAACGACTGCTTCCGCGACTACAAAACGACTTGTTGCTGAGTCCAGGCCTGCACCAGCGAAGATATACATGTGACCGGCCGGAGTTAGAAAGGCATAGGGATAAGCACGGGCGGATGGAGCTGTGCCCATGGACACCTCCGTCCATGAGGGGCTGCCGGCCTGCTTCGTGGAGTGTTTAAAGTTTTGGGCATGGATGCAGGGGTTTTGATGGCCCGATGAGAGGACTATGAGGCCGTCCGTGGAGCGAAGTCGAAAGATTGGGGGGAAGAGCAGGCCGGGAAGGAATGCCGATGCCGTGGATTTCCTCTGTCCCTTCATTCGCATGTCCCACATCTACCCCCCGTCGTGTTGCAGGGCTTTTGGTGGCACTCCGCAGACGAACTCTCATCACAAGATGCAGTCTGTGTGGGACCAGACCCAGGCATGTGGGCCATTAGGCTCTAAGCCTACACCTGAGCGGAGTGCATCGACGCTCCGTGAATATCAGCCAGAGCTCCTAAAGCCTGGACCCCAGAACCGATTGCAAAGCAGCCGTGTCCCTGCCTCCGTGTCCACATACCACAAATCGTTCAGGTGACCTTGGCTGAGGGACGTCGCAGGCCTCTGATGTGCCTCCAGTGGCCTCATTTAAGGCATGGATCCCCACCATCACCCGCGGGAGCGGACAGGAATGTCTTTCTATGAAGGGTCTACGTTGCTGCGTTCTGTGAAGACGATGGTCAGGGCTGCGACCAGTTGAAGACTAAAGTGGGGATAAAGTGAAGGGATCATGGAGGATACCCTAAACCCTAAACCCTAGACCCCTAAGCCCATCATGGAGACCGTGATGGCCCGTCCAAAATCTACCGGCCCCGTGCCCGAAATGCGGCATGCTCCTACCATCCTTGCCCCTCTCAGGTGCCCGCCCTTGGGCTCGAGTTTAGGCAAATCTCGGGCCCCTTCGGATGAAAAAAAACGGTTGAGGGTTTAGGGGTTTAGGGGTTTAGGGGTTCAGGGTTTAGGTTTAGGGTTTAGGGCTAAGCTGCAGGGCCCCGCAGCATGCTGCAGTCTGCTCGCCTGCGCTGTCACACTGGGGCCAGGGACCTGTTCCGGGACTGAATCCGCCGAAGATCCACCTCGGGAAAGGCCCGGGTTCCCAGAGACTCCAATTTCGTTTTAAGGGGATTGACAAGGGTTCCTATACCAGTTCCGTTTAAAGGGATCTATAGGGTTTTGGGCTCCCAGAGACTCCAATATCCCTTTATTAAGAAATATACCTTAAATTATAGTAGGATCCCTAATATGATTTAAGGAGTATTCCTTAAATAAGGAATATTGGAGTCTCTGGGTTCAGCTCTTCAGCCAGGCTCTTCGAGCTTGTGAGTCCGAGTCACATCTTGCCGGTGGGGGTGAGCGCCGCCGAAGCACCGTCTCGAGCAAGCGGAGGGCCGCCAAGTACCGCAACTTCATGCCATTCAAGCGATGGAGCCTGGCGAAGGTTCTGCGGCATCTGACAAGACCAGCAGCCAAGTCCCCGCCTCTACATCGATAAACCAGAGGTCGTTGTAATGACCTTGGAAGATGCTAAAGCCGGCGCCGCAAACGTTGTCAGCCCGGTATGTCTCAATTTGAGTTTGAAGCCATCTAGGTGGTTCTCTAAGTTAGAGTGCCTTTTTAGGTCCTCAAAATATTACTGTAAAAGGGACCCTACATTAGAGAACTACCCTTCTAGATCCCTGAACGAAACCCTATAAAAACTCTTAAAGATCCCTAAAAGGGGGCCCTAGATGAGAGAACTACCCATCTACCGTAAATTAAACCCTAAACCCCTAAACCCTAAACCCCTAAACCCCTTTAAACCCTAAACCCCTAAACCCCTAAACCCTAAACCCCCATCTGCGTAGGACGTCTTTCAGTTTCGAAAGCCGAGGCCAGGACCCGCCCCAGACGCTCCGCCAAAAGCAAACCTCTGCTGCGGTTTAGGGTTTAAAAAAAAAAAATTGGTGCACTTCCCTTTTTGTGCGTTTAGGGTTTAGGACACTAGGGTTTTGGACTTCGGACTTTAGGGTTTAGGGTCTGTTTTTGGGACTTTAGGGTTTAGGGTTCAAAAATTTTCTTTATGGGCTTAGGACTATGGGGTTTCGGGTTTAGCATCCATGAGCGTTCCGCGGATCCTTGTCTCTTTAAAAGCAAAACGAGTCGCATGCGCCCGGATGGGTTGATCACTGCAGTGTGTCCGCCACGAACCGCAGGGAGCGTGCCGGAGACCGTCATCTCCGTCCAAGAAGGAGACGCCTTGTATAAGGGATCTAAGGGTACTGCGGCACTATAATATAGGGGCCTGGGATTTTGGGGTTCCTTAATATATCGTACACTATACCCCCCAAGAAATTGAAGGGCTCAGGGGTGAGCCTTGCTCTTGCCACGATCCCCTTGCCTCCATGGTGTTGATGTGCCACAAGTCGTTCTCGCTGTAGGCTGGGACAGGGCCACTTCCCCAATTTTCCCGAGGTGTTGGCTCTAGCACGCGAGGCTGAGTTCCGGACTTTGTGCAAACCCAGCGAAGACCCACATCTCGCCCGTGGGGCGCAGCACAGCACTGTGGCGATCGCGACCCCTCGGACTTGAGGCGGTGATCACTGGACTCCATGCCGGAGTGGAGGCCTGAACATGACACGCACATCTGATGACAGACTGTAGGATGTTGTCGCGTCTCAAGTCAGAGGATCTGCATTGACGTGCGTTTTGCGAAGCTTGGTTTCTCGGCCTCCAAATCGATCGTCCAGACGTCATCCCACCAGCCTGAGAGAAAACAAGCGAGCTCAGACGAGTTGCGACGCGACAACCTCAGAACATCTCAGGTCCCGACCCTGGTAGGTGCTGTTCTCGTGAACTCCGGCGAAGACCCACATGATGCCAGCAGCGTTGATCACTGCACTGTGACCCCGTCGTGGTGTGATGCCTGAGGCTGGGACCTCTACCCATGTCGGCGTGTCTGCCTGCCCAGAACACGCGCCAACTTCAAGCTTGACTCAGCTTGACCGAATCAAGTTGAAAATGTCAACGGGGGTAAACAACTGCTTGTTGGCGGTATTCTCGGCGTGCTTGCCTGTACTTCTCGACATCGCCCGTCGCAGCTCTGCACAAGCCCCCCCCCCCCGTGCATATCTCAAATGCAACCTTTCAGCATACTTAGCCGAGACCTTCAACATGCCACATGGGTGGTTGTCAAAATTATCGTCCCCTTGTGGGTCCCTATTATAGTACGGCACTTTTTATTTAGGGTGCCCTAAAAGGGACCATAATTTTGACAACTACCCACATGACATAGGGTCGGAAGGTGCCACACACTCTGCCAGATGCACAGCAGAGCAAGCTCAAAGGGCAAGAAGAGCTGACAATACTATCAGATCATGACTTAACCCATCACAGGAACAGTCGTTTGATGGCTAGCGTGCTGAAATCCAGCTACAGGCCGTGGTCTAGCCGATACATATGCTCAAAACATCTCGGAGCCATCCTCTGATGCATGCCACATCCTTAGGGCATACTGTCATGATGCCCTGCCACGGCCATGGTGCCCACCTCCATGTCGATGTACCACAAGTCGGATCTACCTTCACCATTTTTTACACAGTCTCCGAGCAAGAAGCGCTCTCAGGCCGAGCCTGAGCTGGCGTCTGCGCCACCGAACACATAGGCGCGCCCACTTGGGGTGAGGACTCCGGAGAGGTCGAAGCGCGCAGGGACGCTGCCTGCCGTGGACACCTCATTCCACAGCGGGGTGCTGGCCTGACAGAGACAGCACGCGCAGAAAATGGCACCGAATCGTTGGGACAAAGCAAAGCTCGTGAGACACACATTCATGATGCTTCCCAAAGACATGAAATAACACTATATCACTACGATGGGCTGTGACATGATGCGCTCAAGACTGAGGCTGCAACAAGCACTTCGAGTGCAATGCCATGCCTGGTTGCGTTGGTCCCACAAATACATGCCAGGCTGGGATGTATATGCAGAACTAGGACTAGGAAGCCAATGCTCCATAAGTTGCTGGTAAAACTGTCTCCGTCAGTGCTCCTGCTAAGAGCAAAAACCTTCGGAATTGAACAGCTTCTCCAGCTCAGGACCGGCGGTAAACGATTGCGATCTGCCTTCCTCGAGGCCTACGATCCATCATCTCATCTCCATCTCCTGAACCTCTTCATTAACTCTTCGCAGATCAAATCGGGGCACCACAAACCTCAACCCACGGGCCCACGGAGCGTCTACTTTGCAAACAAGCTTGTGTAGCCACGGGCAATGACTTAGTAATGCAAACTTGGTGGCAATCTTCACACCACGAAACCCCAAAACCCTTAAACTTCAACCCTCATGCTCAGACCCCAAACACCCCGATTCCCTCAGCTCCGAGCAAAACCGCGAAACCGCGACATGTGAATCTGCGACGCACCATGCTCGCTGTGGAAGTCAAGAAAGCATCGCGCTGTGCAAGACTGCAAGACTTTGCTTCACCTGGGTCCGTGCAGAAATGCTAGTCGTGTTCGTGTGACAGCATCTGTGCTCTGAAGTGTAAGCTGAAAGGAGCGGCTGGAAGCAGGACTGATTAGGTGAAGGCACGAATTTGCACTGCATGGCATGACCTCAGCGGACTGCCCTTCACCCACACATGAAACCCCTCGACAAGTAAAGCGTGTCATTTCTGTGGCCAAATCATGGAAGCGCGCGTGAGACAACCAAAAGGTGCCTCAGTTCCAAAAACCTGAATCTTATGGCCTATTTTATTTGTTTGTAAAATGCTGGTAGTGCAAAAACTACTGACCACGGTCCCTCAACATTCTTTTGCGTGTTGCAACCATTGAAAGTCTTGCGCTATTGGCCAGTGAACACAACGTTAATCCGAAAACCCAAAACCCATCCACAAAGCAAATCTCGTGCACAGTAACACGAGCTGTGTTTCGTAAAGCTCGAAGGAAAGCCAATGGTCTCTTTTTCTCATACACGTTGAGCCGCAGCACAGCCTATTCCAATCAGTCTTGACATGCACGGTTCCCCACGTTGTGGACGAACATATCTCATCATATGCAGTAAAAATGGGGGGATTGCTCGACGAAGTTGTCCCCCCCTTTCTTGGTTGCTTTTGCAGGCTTCCATGATCTCAAGCTTTGTCATAGACTGATACCTGACGTACGGCAAAATGCATGCTCTCAACAGAAACTAAACCAGGTTCGAAAGACTTTGTGATTCGAACTCAGAAGCTGACCAACCACAGGAGCGGTTCACCAGCAGTCGAACACGTAGAAGCACCCACTGTTTGCATTGTTCAAAGGCTTGCAGTCCTTGTCCAACGCCCATTTCTTTGTCACTCGCTTGGTTGTTTCGTTCTTCCTCTCATGGCATAGTTCCACATTCTTCACAATGGAAAGCTTGCCGCTGCCAACAAGCCAAACATGAGGATCCTTCATGGTCCTGACATGCAGGTAGCAACTCGGCAGCAAGCTCACGATGTTCATCCCAATGATCGACCAATCGACGCGAGTAAAACGCTCGGACAGCAGTTTTTTTTTCCACAAGGTGGAAAGCTCGTGAGAATCAAGTGCCCAAGAAAGACTAGGGATGGATCGAAACGCAAGTGAAAGATGCTGATTGAAGGAAAAACCAGAACGAATCAATAAAATTTGAGAAAACATTGGAAAAAAAATCAGCAACTAGAAAAAGGATTCAGAAACAACAACAACAATGTTGTGTAGCTATGCAATTGATCAAACGAACAAAAGATCCGGAATCCTTTCCGAAACGCGTGTGATGCTTCATGTAAGCTTCGGATGCTTTCACACTTCCGATTTCAAAAGCTTCTCTGGGTTCCAGATTGGGTGAAAAACCACATAAAAGCCGTTTGATGCTTTCACTTCCAGTTTGCAAGCATGAAATGTGTGGAGTGGGTGGTCTCAGTGAGGACGTTTCTTGGCAACAAGATGAGACAATGACGGGAAACCCCTTCTTGCGTTCTGCTGGCAGCGATTATATCCACTCTACTTTGCAACAGACCCTGCCGCATCTTTTTGGAAGGGATATTGGCCAGAAGGAGTTGAGATCGGTGAACGAACATTGCTCCTTGAAGCGCGCAAGAAGAAGTTAGTTAGTGCTGCCGGCATGACGATGGTCAGTAAATCAGGTGCCGGCCCTCTTGGATACCACTTGCCATCCTGTACCTGCAACTGCCGCAGTACTGGTAGTTTCTTCACTTGACTGCGGACGGCTGCGTGCCGAATTCCAGATGTCCTCAGGATTTTCCTTCCGTGGGCTCTTTATGATCCTCTAGGGCGCGATCCCAGACCGGCCCGAAGTACCCCCGTTCTGGAATTTGTTGGCGTCAGTGGTCCTCGGTGGCTGCAGCTGCAGCGAACTGGATGAACCGGAAGTCCAGGTTGTACCACTGGAAGTTGAAGGACGTGCTCGGACTCAGAATGTTTTTGGCGTGGGCAGGCTTTTTCGTTGGAATGGCCTGTTTCGATTTGGCAATATTTGGAACTCTAGGTCCAGCCTCCAAACCAAGCCAAACAAGAAAATCTAGCCCACTATCTGGCACAACTAGAGTAATAAAACCATCGTCTCTGGTGCGTCGCATTGCAGTGATTCAGACGCAGGCCTCAGAGTAGAATCTTATGAGAGAGTCCACTTTTTGAGTGCGAGCTGCTCACACATGGACGACCCATCGCAAAACAAATTAAACTGTAAAACTTACAAACCCCATACCAACAGGAACCAAACACACCCACATTGCTCGCTCGCACACAGAAGTTCAGCTGTTCTTGCACGGCTGGTCTTTTTCCAGACCCCGAGATGTCTTTTTCTAGACCGCGCGATCTTTTTTCCTGTTTTGTTCGACACCCGCGGTCCAGAAAAAGACTTTCATCTTATTTTCGGCCACAAGTAAAGGCCAGAAAGAAGACAAGTTAGGGCCGCAAGAAAATCAAATTCTTTGTCGTGTGTGCGTTTTCAATTTCCATTGTTTCATTTTATCTCCCTTTTTAACGATATCGTGTGGCTTCTTCTTCTTTCGTGTTGGAAAACGTTTTTGTTTGATTTTAATTTTCAATGACACAGTTTGATTTCTTTCGTTCATTTTTAGCCCCTAAAGCGATTTCGTGCTTCTTCTTGTGCGTTTGAGAAGATGTTGGCTTGAAGAGAATGTGTTTTTGTCCAGTTGGCGTTGACATTAGAGGCCCAGAAAAATATCCACCGGGGTCCGAAAAAACACGGGTCAGATTATCTGGTCATCTGATTGACAATAAACAATGTAAGTAATACATAGCATATAAATTAGCATAATATGCTCGGTAACATTTGTCGAGAGACGAAAAAGTCATGGATCAAGGAGTCATGACAATCCTAAATCGTGACAAACAATGAGAGAACCTTAAAACAATCAAACACTTGTTATAAAGTTGATAAAACTTGAATTGCAAAATCTTGAAATCATGATCATAAGAAGAATCCTTCTTAAAGTACTTCCTGATTCACAGAAGCCCTTTCTTTCCAACTCCACGACCCAAGTCCTTCTCGAAGACTAAAGCAGCAGCCGCTGTTACTGGCCCGCTTACGCCAACAAAAAAGCGATTGTAAATTGCCAGATTGGAACCTTTCAAAAGAACAGATTCACTTTTTTGTGGTTGCGTCCGCCAATCGTGCTGGACGCATCTTGGATGCGGAAAATAATCGAGCCCAAAACCATGCGCGTCTTCTTGTTCAACTCTTGGGCCACTAATTGGTGGATGAGAACCCTTCGCTCTTGTATTCCACAGCGTTGAAACGGACGTAGCACCACAGGTGCACCGGAAAAAAAAAAAATTCTGTAGATCCAGCCAATAAACACCCAGAAGGCCAGCGAACTGGATAAAGCGTGGACGGCGCTTGCAGAGCCGTTCACGGAGGCAGTCAACACATTACTGCAGATTTAAAGAAAATTGGTACGGCTGGACTGGACATGCAAGCAAGATACGCGGATTCAAGTGATTGAATGGTTTTGTTTGCAAGCCGAAGCGGAAATTGCCGTGGTTGCGCCAACTGCCAAGTTTTGAATTTGTTAAGACTTGTTTTCAAAACCGACGGAAGAAAGGTCTCAGACCAAGTTGCGCGGCGCAGAGACAAAGTGCTAGAACTTTCTTTGCAGCGGTCAATGGTTTCAAAACCAATTCTTGGACAAGTTAATCACAGATACAGCTTCTACCGTGAGCACAAGATGTATGCGTCGAATGTTGTATTTTCTGCACAACAACTGTTTTTTTTTTGGCTTAACTCGTTAACTACAGCTGTAGCATTGGTCCCAACAAACAAGCGAAAAAACTACAAACTGAGCAAAAACACAACAAAGCGGAAAAACAGCAAAGTTGCAGCTGCAATCCGCTCTGCTCCGCTTACCGCTCTGCTGCTGGAGTTTGTAAAGTCTTTTAAGCCAAAACCATGCGCGTTCGGTAAGGTCTTCTTGTTCGACTCTTGGACTCCAATTGGTGGATAAGAATCGAAGTCACCGCATCTGACCCTGTCTCTGGTGTGCGTTCTTCCTAGTGGTGAACCACTGGAGAAGTGAAGCTTTCCGCGTGGCGCTATCCTCACCCATCCTTTTGGTTTAGATGAAGAAGAGCAGTGAGGCCTGTGAGGCTGGGGGGCTGCACCGACTGTGAGGGACACCTGGCTGCAGGTCGCATCGTCATCGTAGCATCGTCCTCATCGTCGCTGCGCCTCGTCGTTGTTGCCGTGTCGCGAAGTATCCACACTGGCATGCACAAAAGCATCCACATATCCACAAAAGTGTCCACAAATGTATCCACACGGGTATCCACAAAAGCCCGCCCTATTTTGGA